ACTTCTGATCTGTTTTCCTTTGCAGACAAAACCAAGAAGTGACCAGCACCCATCAGCTCCAATCCACCTGCCCCCAGTCTCTCTTAAAATCACCCCATTCAGGCGTGCTCCTACTGGTCAACCAAAACTGCCCCTAAAGCTATCACTAGTACAAACCATGTGCTACTAAGTGTTAGTCTTCTGCTGCCACTTTAAGAACTAACCACGCCCACCCCAGCCATTTTTGGACCTCCCCCGCAGCCATCTTCTCTCTCTCTCTGGTGCGTGTGTATATGTGTGTGTGTGCGTGCGTGTGCGTGTGTGTGTGTTTGTCTCGTCTTGTGTGTACGTGTGTCTTTGTTCTCTCTCTGTTTTTCTCTTCTTTAAGCAATAAATGTCTCCCTCTTCTTTAAATAATACTATGTCTTATGAGCCTTTTATCTGTCGTAACCGCCCGCCTGACTCCCCCGGCCACATGGTGCTGCAGGGACTCACGGCCATCCTTGTCGGACTCCGCGAGCTGCCCGGGACATCCCATCATCATATTCTTTCAAAAAGAACAATACTAAGTCTATGAGTGGACACTTTGGCTTTCCTTACTGCCATGTCAGCACTTTCTTATTTACTTACTTACTTACTTACTTACTTAATTTATTTATTTATTGCAGAGTGAGGTTGAATATTTATTCAGGGGGTTATGGAGGGAGAAGGGAGAATGGGGGGCAGAGAGAGAGAGAGAGAGAGAGAGAGAGAGAGAGAGAGGGGGAAAAAGAGAGGGGGGGGGGGAGCGGAGAAGTGGGGAGAGAGGCAGAAGCGAAGCTGCCTCTTCAAGAGGAAGACAGAAAAGAGCTGTTTTCTAATTTAAAAATGTGTGTGTGTTTGTGCGCACATGTGCCACACCATGTGTGTGGAAGTGAGACAACAATCACCAGGAGCTGGTTCTCTCCTTCCATCAGTTGCTCCTAGAGACCAAATTCAGGCTGTCAGGCTTGGTGGCGAGTACCTTACCCACTGAGCCACCTTGCCAGCCCCATGCAGCACTGTCTGTCAAGGCAGGTCACTCACCTCCTTGATGCCTTCTTCAGTTGATGCCACACACAACTGACACAGGGGTAATTGCTTTTTATTCCTCAAGGCTTGGCATCTTTTCCTCCACCAAAGTACCTCTAGGCGCAGAATTCTCCCCGAAGCAAAATACCTGGGACCAAAAGTGTCATGGGTTTGTTTGGGGGTCTTTTCTTCTTTCTTCTTCTTCTTCTTCTTCTTTTCCTTCCCCTCCTCCTTCTTTTCTTCTCCTCCTCTCTTCTTCCTCCTTTTCTTCTGATTTTGAGAATTGTGCAATATCTTGGGGATGGGGCCCAAGTTTAAGTACGGAATTCATGTTTTCTTTACAGCTTATCCACATAAGCTGGAGGTAACTCTAGACAATATTTAAATGCTTTTGTGCATGAAATAAAAGTCTCACGATGTGAAACTTAGTCAACTTGGTGGTCAAAGTTTTAGATTTTGGAGCATTTTGGACTTCCGATTGTTGGTCAGGGATGCACTGAAACTTGCTCTATTTTTCCCTACATACACCCCTGTGGAGGTCTCATGTGGTCTCACATCTCCACATCAGTAACTGCTCATTTTGTACTTCAGCAAAGGCCTTGTCCAGAACTCCAGGCTCACACATCCCACAGCTATAGAGGCCTACATTTCACACTCCTCAGGCTAAATTACACACCTCCCCCAGAACCTGACCCACCAGTGGCTGCAGCTCGGCCCAGTGCCTCCAGGAGTGACACACACTCCTGTTCGTGTGTGTCCTGTTGGGTTCTCAACACACACTGCTGGCAGCACTCTCTTCAGCCGGATTACTGATTGCTAAAGGCTCTCCCTGCATTCTTGATTGTACCCCTGCTGTCTGTTCACAGCAGAGCTGCAGGAAGAACCTGTAGCCCCAGGCAGATAGTGTTATACCTTCCCTGCAAGCCCCTAAAGACTATTCTCATCTCACAAGGAACTTTGTGCCTGGCCTCACTACAAGAATGAGTTCTTACTGAACTACATGAGTGAGTTCCTCCGCACTCATTCCTCTCCCTCTTTCCTCACCCCTCCTGCTCTGCGGGCTGACCTACTTGTTAGGGCTTGTTAATGCTGGCATGCTCCCACTGTAAGCCTTTGCACTGGCCCTTCTGCGGGGAACATTCCCCCATAGGGCTATGACCTTCAATCACTTCCCAAGATGGTTTAAATGCTATCTCTTGAAGAAGCCTGGTAGCACACACCTGTAATCCCAGAACCTGGGAGGCAAGTATAGGAAGGCTTGGAGTTCAAGGTCATCCTAGGGTACGTAGTAGCTCCTAGTAGCTCTTTTCAAAGAAACGCTGTCTGAAACCCCATCCTGCCTGCCCTAGGATAGTCTGGCTGTCCTTACTGTCCACTCCTTTTCCTTGTTTGGCATGACATGTTCTGTGACACCATCTTGTAGTGTCATTTAAATTCCCACTTTATCGTTTCCCCACCCCCGATTCCAAGAGCTTAGATGGGTTCTAAGCGTATAATACACACTTGATAAATGCTTCTTGAATGTTGTATGTGAATCTCTTAGAAGGACCATGTCTCTGCTGCTAAGATTACCAGAGTTTTGTGACCCCCCCCAAAAAATATTTTTTTGAAAACAAATACTTCTAAAAATAAAAGATGGGATGGAGGGCAACTAAAGTTCTAATTTCAGTTCTATTCCTCGAAGGCTCTTTCTAGCTGAGAGCCAACATCAGGACCGGTATTTATGGCCTATGCTTTGAGTCTCTCCCATACATGGGCCAGCCTGGTGTGCCTAGCAGTGATAGTGCTGGGTCTGCTCCTTAAACCACAGGAGACTTAGCAGGTCAGACAGCAATCCTACACCCCATGAGAGAGGTCCCCCAACATCAGCAGAGAGGACAGACGCCGTGAGATTTACCATGCAAGTAGGCACTGCATGTGACGTATGTTCCAGGAGCAACAATAACAGTAGTAAAGACAGAACAGAAAATAACCATCTTCGAAATGACAACAAACAGGACACATTATCTAAGCACTAACACCTAAGGAGGTGGCTGCCCAGCTCTGGAGGGCAGCTCCTCAGGAGACGGGGGCCGACTTTCCAGATTGCCTGGTCGTCTTCAGTCCTTGTAATTTTTCATCTTTCAGCGCCTTCAGGAATTTATCTGCAGGAGAGCAAAACAGACTCAGCTGTAGCTGGGAAGGCCTTTGTTTTGTTTCTCAGGGTCTTCCTATGTAGCTCCAGGCTGTCCTGGAACTCCTGACCCCTCTGCCTCAGCCTCCTAAGTACTAGGAGGTGTGCACCACCTCCGCTCAAAGGAGGAATCTTCTAACTTCCAGGGAAAGTTTCTGAGAAGTAATTGTACACAACCCTAAAGTGTCCCAGACATACCTAACTCATAGGAGTGAAAAGACTAACTCTAGGGACGTCTCCGATGCCTATGCAAAAGTGTATCCTACAGGATGAATTGGAGACCATTCCTATGGCTATGCCAACCTAAGTTGGTCTTTTTCCATACTTCCCCTCCCTGTGTGGCAGAAGGCAGCAATTTAACCGATGGCAGAGAACAGGTGAAATGGTCTTTCTAGTGACATCTGTCCTCCTTTAGTAGACAAATTCAAGCCTTAGAACAGATGGTGGGAAAGGACAGCCTTTGACTACTAATGCCTGAACAATTGGTCCTTCTGGAAATGCAGTTAGATTTAACACCCTCGCTGCCCAGTAGAGAGGAATCAGTTCATATTCCAGAGGACTCCTGCTTACACCAATACACTTGGTCAGCTCTGGGGTAGATGCCCAAAACCTGAGTCCTAAGATCAGATGTCAGAGTCCAAGATTCTGTCAGAGGGCTATAAGGCATGGGGCCAATAGAAGGGCAGAGGCCAGGGCTCCTCATTGAATGACTGAGGGCCTTCAAGGTTTGGGCAGTTCCTACCATCTCTTACCACCCACAGACCCCAGTTTAAGATTGAATATTGAAGGTTAAGGTCTCTAGAGATAGGCAGCCTGTGGTGGGTGAAGTTCCAGACTACAGAAATGTGGTACTGTTGTGTAAGGTGAAGTTTAGGAAGGGGGTACTTCAGGTGTCAAGACCCAGAGGGCGAGCCCCTGAAGGGTGAGGTTTAACACTAAAGGACTTGAATAGCTCAGGTGTGTTGAGGCAGGGGTCGGTTGAAATTCAGCACGTGGGGGTCTGGATCTTTGGAGGGCAGATTTTGGAAGTGGGACACTTAGGGCTGGGGACAGTCTGGGGTCACATTCTGGCGACTGATGGACTCTAGCGGACAATTAGGGCACCTAGGGTTGGGCTCGGTTGGCGGTCACGCACAGCGCTGGGAGTCGAAGCCGTCTCCAGTGATGGTGAGCAGCTCCAGCTCCTTAATCCGGATCTCTAGCTCGCACAGCTCCTCGGGGTGGGAGGCGGAGGCGAGCCAGGAGGTCGTGGAGCCGGGGACCAGGGCTGAAGTTGCCGTCTCGGGCCCTGGCGGTGGCGAGTAGAAAAAGCGCAGAGGCTCATAGGGTATAGAGGCCAGGCCGGACGGCCAGGGCGGAGGGCACGGGCGCTCGCTGGGGGGACCCAGGCCAGGCGGCGGCGGCACCGTGGCTGGGGGTGCCAGAGGCAGGGGTCGGATCCCCGCTACCCCCGCCACCCCGGCCGCCGGCGCCCCGCCCGCCTTCAGTGGCACAAAGAGCTTCTTCCAGATGTTAAAGTCGCTCAGCGGAGACGACGAAATGCCCCGGTCATAGAGCGACGGGAAATAAAGGGGCGGAGCCGGCCGCTGGCTCATCTTGGGGTTCTGGCTGCCGCGCCGCCCCTTCGGCATCTTTTGAAAGGTGGCTGCGTGAGAGGAACCCCGCGCCGGGAGACGCGTGCCGAGGCCCCGCGTCTAGGAATTCGGAGATTCCACAGGCCCCGCCCCGACGGAGCGCGGCCCCACCCTTCGCTCTCGCCCCGCCCCGAGAAGGCGGGGCTCTAGAGAGCAGAGGCCCCGCCCCGCGAGCTGGCCGGGCGGAAAGCCAGGTCGGTTCTTGGTCTTTGTTGACCTTTTCCTACTGGCTTCAAAATAACCTTGGCGCACTTTCTTCTCGGCCCTAGACTCCTCCCGGCGCCCTTCAATTCGATTTCTGCTGCTGCTCCCGGAGTTGGCCAAGGCTACGAGAGAAATTCAACCTTCCTCTCCTTTTTCCCAACAACCGGGTTCTAGCATACTTGACTCATTCATTATTTAGGAAACTGAGAAAATGGGTGGCTGACTTGGTCCTCTACAGAGGGGGAAGAGAAATTTTTTTTGATAAATTTAGCGATACTGTGGAAGATTCTGGAAAGGGGAAAATAGTCTGAATTTGTAATGACTCCGAAGCAAACAATTTTATTTTCTTTATGAAGTTTGATTCTCTTTTAGACATGTAAGTTATCAGGAGCTGACAGGCAGTTTAACACCAAAAGGAAATCCTCATGGGGCCACCCAAACGCCACACCCATTCCTGAGAACTGGATGTTCTGCCCAAAGAACAGGTACAGCTCATTTGTATGAAATATTAGTCATTAGTTAAGGGGAAGTCACTTTCCTTGAGAACGTTCTTGTAATGACCACCAGCATGGCTGAATAGGGATGGATGGGGGCCAGGAAAGCCCAGACAGCCTCAGTTTCGTGTGTGTGTGTGTGTGTGTGTGTGTGTGTGTGTGTATGTGTGTGTGTGCATACATACACACACATACATATATATGTATATATAGGGTAGGCAGCAAAGGAGGGAGTCTGATATCCAAACTGGTCATTTTGGGCAAGTAGTTTGACTTGGGGGAGAGGCTGTGTTTGTTTTTTGAGGTAAGGTAGTCCAAGCTGACCTAGACTTTCTTTGTGGACCAGGTTGGCCACACACTTACAGCAGTCCTCCTGTCTGTCTACCGGGTGGAATTAGAGGCAAGCATCACTACACCTAGCGTGGTGCTTGATTTGTAAAGTTATGTGTGTGCATAAATTTATGTGTTTCGTCGGCACTGAGAAGTCCACAGAAGTCAGAAGAGGATGTGGGTGCTGGGAACTGTACCAGGGTCTTGTGCAAGGTAAGTCAGTAAATGCTCTTGGTGAAAGAACCACCCATCAGAGCGGTTAAGTCAGTTGTGTATAAAATGGAGATGAGAACACCATGAGGGGGCTGCCTTTGAGGTAATAGTTCCTCCTCCTCCTACTGTAAAGAGCAAAGGCTATTTTATTACTTAAACAAGATGAGCCTAAGTTACCAATGAAAAGACCTATATGGTAGGTATGCCTGAGGGCACAGAAATTTACCGCACAGCTCTCCCACTACTGAAATATCTATTTCTGTGCTCCAGCTGCCCGCATCCAGTGGCTTGCAGATGGTCACTAGGGAACAGGGGCACTTTCTGGCTTCTGGCTCACAGGGCAACTTTCCCTGTTCCTCCACCCCCCATGCAGCTGCATGACCTATTGTTTTCTCCTTCCAACTCCAATAAATCGTCCTCAAGTTACCCTGTGCCTTGTTTTTTTAAAAAATTCTTTCATCTGTGATATCAAAAGCCCGTTTTAAAAGGGAACTCTGTGTCCTACCATGGTAAGGCCAAGGTTGCCTGCATGGCCTCTGGTCTCCAAGTTCCTCTTCTAGCAAGTAGGCTGACTCTTACTGGAGGTTGTTTGTGTCATAATCTAAGGGCCATGCTAGTCTAAGAAACACAAAACAGCCCTTTATTGCTAGTCTGAATTATCCTTTGTGCTGGTGTGGATTTGAGGGCTTGGGAAGTCCCACTGCACAATTCCCACTACTTCAAAAAAATGTTCTCAAAAATGCAGTTCCAGCCTTTATGCTTGTTTTTCTAGGTACATGTATCCCCGTGTCCTTGCAGAGGTAGGAAAAATTAAAATTAGTGAAACTGTTGATGAAAGTTAACAATTAAACAGCTTAATGAAACTAAACTCTGAGAGCTAGGCTGGCGGTGGAGTAAGGCGTAAGAAGCCTGGCAGATGAGATATTCATTGGAGTAAACCTGATCAACCAGATCAATCAGGCGTGCTAAGCTTGGTCCGCTTCCTCCAGCCAAGCTCCACCTCCCAGAGTTTCCAGAACTTCTTAAAATAGCACCACCAGCTGAAGACCAAGCGGCCCAAAGCTGAGCTTTGGGGGGGGGGGGGGCGGGGAGAATTTCACACTGAAACCTTAACAAAACTGAAAGCTTGGGAATTACATTTGGGAGGTGCAAAGTCCAGGGCAAATTGCGGGACTGGGACTTGGGAGCAGAGCAGGATCAACTGTGCGGCCTTCAGTGTAGCCACTAGAGAGGAGATGCTGCTGCCTGGTGCCCGCTGTCCGCGACTATGCCAATCACAGTCCTTTTCCTTTGCTTCCTTCGCCCACAGAGACTGGAGGAAGTAAATACTAGCTTTCCCCATTCCTCTTGCAGCTCACGTAGTTACGAGGACCAGGCAGAATATATGAGCAAGAAGACACCTGCGAGTTTTGTAAGACAGATTTTAATTTCCTGGTAAGGAAAACTGAAACGCATGGCCTTGAACTTGGATGCAGGAAGCTCTACGGTGACTTTGTGTTTGGGAGGGAAAGATGAGGCCCCCACTAATATAGCAGCTCAGACGGTGCCGACCAATTGGACCAAAGCTAGTAGCTGCTTATCTCGGGATTGTGGATGCAACAACGAAACAGTTAGGTTATATTTGATTACATTAGTTGGGTTGTCTGCTGCTTGTAGCTGAACACCTGAGAGTCACAGTTTCAACAACAACAAATTTATTTTGTTTTACAAGTCCTTTGCAGAACTTCACTTGGGTGAACCTCCAGAAGAAAACATGCCTGTTGTTTATGCTTTGGTCATAGGAACTTTTATTAATAGTTTCCCAAGACTGAAAGGATAGATGTAATTTCCCAAAAGGTAATTGAAGTGTCTGTTACTAGAAGGGAGGGAACACAGACCGGTGAGCCAAATCCCCCATGGCAGTAGGTCCCATCATTGTAACTGCCAGTGGATGCCCAGACGTTTGTCCTGTTCACTGCCTTCCTCCCACAGTGCAGGGCTTTGCTCTCATGCCAACGTTTCTCACAGTAACTGTCTCAGTGAAGTAGTTTTGGTTGCAACAGTTAGAAACTTGATCGAGTTAAAAACTCAGAACAGAGAAGAAGGGATTAATAAGGGGAGGACTAACTGAATCCCAAGGCAGAGCTGCTTAAACCCCATACCCTAGCCAGGGAAACGGGTGCCACCTGTGATCTCTCTGTCATCTTTATACCCTTGGTGGGTTTGGGTAGAGGCGATACTATTCATATTGAAAACTGAGAATTATGGGAGCAGCTATACTGGTCATGCCTCACACAAGTTCTTAGGTTGTAGCCAGGACTCGTATAGGCCTGAAAGTCAAGTTTACTCCAGAGGCTAAGGTAGGAATAGCAAAGGTTTAAGGCCTGCCTGGGCAATTTGACAAAAACCTATCTCAAAATAAAGGGCTGGAGTTGTAGCTGATTGTAGAGCACTTGGAAGCACGCACAATGTTCTGGGTTCAGTTCCTCATACTGTGAAAAGAGAAGTGCTCACGTAACCATTGTTGGGGTAATCTTTTTGTACACTATGTGCAAGCGCGACTCTGTTTAACCTCACCTGCCTAAGGCGTCTTCTGATTGGTTTGATTAACCTAGGCAGGAGGGGATAGCTGGGACTTCGAGGCCTAGATAAGAACTCTGGGAAAGAATGTGAGGCCGAAGATTCCCCTGCCTGACGTGAAGGAAGTCAGATGTACAGTACTGAGAAAAGGTAATAAGCCAGGTGACAAAACATAGCTTAATATAAATGGGTTAATTTAAGTTTTACGAGCTAGTTGGGAGCAAGTTTAAGCTTTCATAATTAATAAAAAGTCTCAGTGTCATTACTCAGGAGCTGACGATCCAAAGAAATCACTGCATTCCTCGTCGAAAAGTCATTATGTGCCAGGTCTTATCGGGTTCAGAGTGGTTGAGTTTATGAGTTACAACACAGAACTCCAGGTCTGGCCCAGCGTAAGTCACCACCATCCGTCACACCCACACCTACCTTTCCCAACAACCAGATGAATGGGGATTTACTGGGTCAAGCATAGCAGGGCTAAGAACCACAATGCCTCCACCCACCCTCAGGGAAGTTAATCACAGAGAGGAAAGGACCACTCCAGACTAGGAAGCTTGAGTCCCCGGTTTAGAAGGATCATCCCCTGCAGGCCCTAAGCCATCCTTCCCTTTGCCAGAGGCTCTACACAGTGACTGGGGCGGAAGTAATACTGTTTGGATGGATCACTGTAGGCACTGATCAGGAAATAAGGCTCTCAGTGGTCATTCCTCTTACTCCCATGTAAGATGAGTATATATGAGCAGGGGCCGTAGATGAGATAAGTAAGATTATTCATCTAAGAACTTTTATTCCAATAATGTAAGAAATTGGAAAGGAGCCCTCTGGTCAGTTCCTCTTTCCTGATTTAAGCATGGGGTGATTTGCTGTAAGCCTGAGGCCTCTGGAGCCCTAACAGCCCTGTTCTCTGCTGTGTTAGGCAGCTTTCGTGATTGTGGTGGAATGCCCGAGAGAAACACCTTATGAAAGAAGAAAGTTTATTGTGGCTTCCAGTTTCAGAGGCTTCGTGGCCGGCTGGCTCCATTGCTTTTCGATCTGTGACAAAGCAAACCGTCAGGGCACCGAGTGTGTGGCAGAGCCAAGCAGTTTACCACATGAGCTCCAGGAAGCAGAGAGAGGAAAGAGATGAGGATCCAGTATCCCCTTCAGAGGCATGCCCCTCAGTAGCCTCGTTTCCTTCTGCCAAGTTCCACCTCCTAAAGATTCTATCTCTTCCCAATCCATCAGCTGGGGGCTAAAGTTTTCACGAATGTGATTTTGGGTAGTGCTCCATAGTACCCCAATAATTTTAACCTGCATCCTGCTTACCACACACTTCACAAATGCATTCCTCTTCAGATCCAAGGTATGTGTAGAAAGCCCAAGCTAGTGTTGCTTTTGTTTTAACCTTTAAACCAATGACCAGGACTAGGAATAAGTTGCTCGCCTACTGTGCATGAAGTTCTTGGTTCCGTCTCTAGCCCCTCATAAACTGGGTAGTGTAGCACAATTAATAAAAACCCAGAGACATAAATTGGGGTTCAACCTGAAGGTCAGAAAAGCCAAAGAGCCAGCCATTGGCTCTTTTACCTCTACCTCCGTCTGAAATGGTGATCCAGGAATCGCAGAATGAAACTGTGTCTATGAGCTGTCTCCTCCAGTCTTATGTTCCTCTCTAGAGCTGTGATTAAAGGTGTGCACCGCCCACCCTGGTTTCTATGGCAAACTAGTTTGGCTACTGGGATTAAAGGTGTGTGTCACCACTGCCTGGTCTGTAAGGCTGATTACGCTCTGATCTTCAGGCAAGCTTTATTTATTAAAATACAAATGAAGTATCACTACAGGGTGGGGTGGCACACATTTGCAATCCTAGCACTTGATGGCAGAAGCAGGGAGATCCCAGGATATCAAGGTTATCTTCAGCTTTGAGACCAAAGATAGTCTGGGATATGCATATCTTCCAAGTACTAACCCACATACGTAACTGCTGCTATATTAAAATATCTGCAGTGGGCATTTACAAACAGAACGTGACATAAGGATGGTGTCTGGAAATGATGTTTCTAGAAAGGCTTACACTGATGTGGAACCGTTCAATGAAAGACAGGCACTTAAGTTTTCTTTGGTAAACAAAGGCAGGAATTGATTTCTTCAAAGTGTCAAGGTCTGTAGTAATTTGAAATGTATTGGCTCCCATAGGCTCATAGGGAGAGGCACTATTAGGAGGTGTGGCTTTGTTGGAGTAGATGTGGTCTTGTTGGAGGAAGTGTGTCACTGTGGAGGTTGGCTTTGAAGTCTCATATATGCTCGATACAACCAGTATGACAGTTCACTTCCTGTTGCCTTCTGATTAAGATATATCTAGCACCATGTCTTCCTGCGTGTGACCATGCTCCGTCATGACGATAATGGACTGAACCTCTGAACTAGAAGCTGCTACCTCAATTAGATGCTTTCTTTATAAGAGTTGCTGTGATCATGGTGTCTCTCCACAGCAATAGAAACCCTAAGACAGGGTCCTATGCCAGGTTTCTTTCCAAAGTCATTCTGAGGTACATCAAGATTGTGCACTCAAGGAGGATAGAGGGAGGGTAACCACAGAGTTCAATGTGAATATGTCACCTCATTGCCTTTTGTGGCCTGAGCAATTCAGCTAAGTTCTCTGTAAGGAGCCGTCAGGACATCGCCATTGTGAAATAGTGCTGGCGGTCCTGCAGCTTGGAGGTAAACAGATCCTTTTGATGTTGCGTGGGGCTGAGTACCCCTTGGCCTGCATTTACATAACTGAGCCTTGTTCCCTAGCCAATCCCGAAGCCCGGGGCTTCAGTGGAATGGTATTCACCAATCAGGACAGTATCCTACTCCCTCCACCTTAGAAAAGCAGCTGCCTCTGGGCTTTCGCTTTCTCTTGCTCCACGCTATCCCTTCAACCGAGAAGCTCCAATAAAGTGTGATTTGGGAAGAATCCTCAACTCGTGGTCGTTCTTGCTTGCTGGTCAAGCAGCGCGCCACACTTCTCCAAATACAGTTCCAACTCTATTTTAGCATTGTATGTGTAGAAGTGCCTGTTGCCTGTGCAGACGAGGAGAGTGCATCAGATCCCCTGGAACTGGAGTTCCAATTGTGAGCTGCCATGTGGGTGCTGGGAATCGACTCTGGGTCCTCTGGAAGGGTGTCAGGTGCTCTTAAACACCAAGCCATCTCTCCAGTCCCTGTAGTTCTAACTCCTGTGCATGAGAGATGGTGATGCTGAAGACAGGTTTAAGGCCCAGAGCTGACAAGCCCTGCACCTGAGGTTGCCCTTATCACAATGTCAGGTGAGCACCACCTTAGCCAACACCGCCTGCTCAGCACAGGCAGCTCTTAGCGAGAGAGCCAGCCAGCATCAGTTCAGATGGGTTTGCAAGCCACAGAAAGCAGTGTGTGCTAAAAGGCTTTGAAGACCAATAAAAGACTGACCTTGAGCAACCTACATCACCTGGCCCTACTAAGAATGAAGATGTACACATGTGTACATCTGGTTCATTCTCTTGGGAAGTCTCAGATTCAAACCAGCTAGAACAGAGTCGGGCAGGCTCTTATTTGGTCAGGATGCACATACCATGTTAAAGCACGGGCTGACGGCCAAGATACAGGAGCCATTTCCCCCACGCCTTACTGCTTAGTGCTTTGAACCCACAGCACACCTCCTACAGACAGCCCAGTGAAGTTGTTTCTGCCCAGCACTGAATGGTATGACCGTTTCTGTGAAACCCAATGATGACCGCTCTCTACTTAGATCATCTCAGCCGTGCCGCCTGTGGGGGCCAGACACCAGCCCATCAGCACAACTCTGTGCAGAAAGAAATAGTACCCCCTCCTTCTCCTTATCCAGCAGAACCCAGATTCTGTTTTCAAAAACCTGCCTCTTGGGGGCCAGTGAGATGACTTAGCAGGTAAAAGAGCTAGGCTCCAAAGCTCCCAGCTCTCACGATAGGTGAGAAGTGACTCTGCGTTCTCTTCTGACCCCTCACCTCCACATGCATGCTACACACACACACACACACACACACACACTCTCTCTCTCTCTCTCTCTCTCTCTCTATCTCTCTGATGGGGTGGGAGGGAGAGAGAAACACAAATGTAACCTTTTTTTTTTGAGACAGGGTTTTGCTGTGTAGTCCTGGCTGTCCTGGAACTCACTATGTAGACCAGGCTGGGGGCTGGGCTCAAACTCACATCTGCCTGCCTCCTGCCTCCTGAGTGCTGGGAATAAAGGCGCATGCCATCAGTGCCTGGCTTAGAAATTTGAACTTTTTTAAAAGAAAAAACAACAGCTACTGTTGCTTACCTCCTGTTACCACACCCTGGGGGTGGGGTAAGATGGTGCAGACTCTGGGGAATTAGGCCAGTAGCAAAGCAGACTTGTTTATTGTGGGTGTCAGGCAGACCTTCATACTCCCTCCCAGGACCCAGGGGTCAGTGTCATCCGACCGCTGTATTGTCTCTCCTTCATTGGCTCTGGCCATCTGATGTCATGGCATCATCAGTCTTTGGGCTCCACGGCAGGCTCCCAGTTGACTCAAGGGGAAGTTACCAATGCACCTGCTGGACTGGCCTCGAGATTTCCTACTGGGCAGTCAGAACCAGTTTTAGCCGGCTTCAGCCTCCTTCTATAAGTTATCTCCACCCCCCCCCCCCCATGAACTCTTTTCATTAGGTGTAGATACGTGGCCCAAGACGCCAGTCGGACAGTCTTACACTGGAATCTAGATCTTGAATAGACTTCTAGAATAGTAAAATTCCTAGCTTTTTGGAATCTTGGATGCATCTCGTCTACAAAAGACACGCCCACAAAAATCGAAGTAACCTATTTTTTTGTCGAAATAATTCAATTTCAGTTATTGCTCCTCTGAACTCATATGAAACTTGCTGCTTTCCTCAGCCAGTTGCTGAGGGGAAAATCCTTTTGAGGAAACAGTCATAGCTGATAATTAGACTTGGCAGAGAGAGACACAAAGCTGTAAAGAAAAACACTGAGCCAGCGGAGGAGGACACCGCTAACCCAGGCTACAGGAGGCGGAAGTGCCCAGCGGTGCTTTCTTTCTGTGGCTACCCTGAGCACATCGTATGGGCTGTTTGTCACCTTTCTGCTCATCACACTCCTCCATCGGCTGAGATTTGATGTTCAGAACAGCATCATTATTGCATAGCTGTCCGAAATAATAAATCCTACTTATGATTTGTCTAACAGATTATATAATCAAGAGAATTCTCTCTCTTTTTAATTTAACATTTTTTTTTCAAGACAGGGTTTCACTATAGCTTTGGAGCCTATCCTGGAACTAGCTCTTGCAGACCAGGCTGGCCTCGAACTCACAAAGATCCACCCGCCTCTGCCTCCTGAGTGCTGGGATTAATTAACATCCTTTTTTAAGAAACAGTTTTTGAGGTTAATAAAGAAATTCCTTCTTCCCCAAAGGTCAGGCGATGGCATTGAATACAGCTAAGATCCCAAGATCAGATGTGGTGAAATCTACGGATCTTGTTGAGCCACTCTTCAGCACATGAAGGGAATGACCTTCTCCTTCTTTAGGAAGGAGGCTTCCAAGGCTGGTGAGTAAAGCAACGCTGCTGTTCCTGATACCGTCTAATGAACATCTCAAATGCCAGCCCCACACTCTGCTCCACTGTAACCATTCTTTGTGCATGCACAAATGTCTTCCTGCTAGGAGACATTTAAAGTAAACGCACCCCTCTGTCATACAGCACAGGCTGTTTATTTATTTCATTATGTGGAGCAAAATCAAGATAATTTGCTTTTCTTTCTTTTTTTTTAAATATTTATTTATTTATTATGTATACAATATTCTGTCTGTGTGTATGTCTGCAGGCCAGAAAAGGGCACCAGACCTCATTACAGATGGTTGTGAGCCACCATGTGGTTGCTGGGATTTGAACTCAGGACCTTTGGAAGAGCAGACAATGCTCTTAACCACTGAGCCATCTCTCCAGCCCCCGATAATTTGCTTTTCTAAGAAAAAATGAGAGGAAATAACTAATACAACATTATTAAAAGCAATTACATTTTTCTAATAAAAGTTAGGAAAGCCCATGCAAAATTTAGAGATGCAGAAAACCTCAAACTGTAGTCACTGGTACTTCTACAAAAAGAACAGACAGACTTTTTGTGTTTCCTTCTTCAGTTTTTTTGTTACTGTTTTTTATTTTACTTTTCTTTCTTTCTTTTTTTGAGGCATAGTCTTACTATATAGTTCTGGGTGGCCTGGAATTCAGTATGGTCAGGCTGGCCTTGAACTTATGGCAATCCCCCTGCCTCTCCAGTGTCGAGATAATAGGCTTGAGCTGGGAGTATGGCTGCAGGGTACAGCACTTGCCTATAGCCTGCTCAAGGATCTGGGTTTCATTCCCAGTATTGTTTTTTCTTTTTCAACAAACAAACAACATCACTGATCCTGACTGACAGCTCACATCTGGAACACTCACACACCAACTCAGGATCTGCAAAGGCTATGAGAGTATTTTATGAGTGTGACAGACTGATGAAAAGAATCCCCCTGGCTCACTCACCCCTACAGGTACTGACTGCACTTCTCAGCTATCTTCTAGGAACCAGAGAGATATCCCTGAGGGTTGCCAAAAGCCCACTTAAGCAGAAATAGAAAGCCAGTCCTCCCAAGAGCAGAGAAAGATTTGTATAACCTATGGGAATTGGATCTACGAACTTCCCCCTTAAACTTCAAGTGGTTTTCCCTGTGGGCAGGGTGGTCCTCACACTGCTTAGTCCCTTCCTCTTATCCACAATATTAAAGTGAACTTTATTCTTTCCCAAAAGGCTATAATGGAAAAAAAAAAAAAACAGCTTTGGAGTGCTGCAGCAGCAGCAAGAAGATAAGAGAACAGAGGCGCTTCGGAGCTCAGGGATGACTTAGAAACACAGCTTCCAGATGGCTGCCAGAACCGAGGTTCCCAGCAACGCAGTCTTCCCAGATAAGGAGGTTGCCGCATCGTTGCTTCCTTCTTTGAGCTTTTTGTTACACATGTCCCGCTGGCAGCATCTGTACTCTACATTTGCGAGCTCAAATCGGGTCAAAATGAACATGGAATTGCAATCCGAAAATTTCCAGCACTGCTGATAGACTTGCATTCCTGTGGAGAGACACGCATACACTAAGAAGCCACACAGGTGCAGTTCTGAGCCTGCCATTCTGTCTTGGCACGCAGTCTATGGAAGAGAGAGGTTTGGGCAGAAACAGGCATCCCAACTGGGGCGTAAAGGGAAACCAGACAGTGATGGCACACCTCCAAATGGAGAATTTCCACAAATCTGAAGTCTTGTCAGTGTGTGAATTTGTGTGTGTGGGGAGGAGTTATAGGCAGTTCTATTTCTATTTATGAGGGAAACTTGATGATATTTACTAAGAACTTAAATGGATGTTGCTTCTGGTCAATCAATTCTACTTTTACAGTGAAGGAAAAGAGACACAATACTATTTGTAAAGCAAGCACTTAAAAAAAACACAATCTATTGATGAATCTGTTTACTACACAGTGATGGAGAGAGAGAAATACTACTTCATACCTATAAGGAGGGCAAAGATCAAGAAAAATGAATGAAATAAAACATATTGAATGAAAAAATTTCAACATCATCAAAAAAGCAAAAACGGAATAATCATAGTTCTCACGGGGAGGATTACTACATTTTATACCTTAGCAGTGAAAGTGTGGAAGACTGCCCTCCTCCCCTCCCCCGTGGAATCAAATACTTTGAACATGGGGCCTAGAATTCTGGCCATATTCCAGGAGTTTACATAACAATTATCAGGTACTCCTATTTTAAAACAAGGTACCTTTGATTGGTCCTTAATTGGAAGATTTTTTTTTTCTTCCTGGGAGAAAATACTGCTGAAGGCAGTTTTTATTTATTTATATATATATATCTATATATATATATATATAGATATATATATATATATTGTATACAATATTCTGTCTGCGTGTATGTCTGGGCACCAGACCTCATTATAGATGGTTGTGAGCCACCATGTGGTTGCCGGGAATTGAACTCAGGACCTCTGGAAGAGCAGGCAGTGCTCTTAACCTCTGAGCCATCTCTCCAGCCCGGCAGTTTTTATTCTTATCTCTTGGAAAGGGTTTATCTCACACACCAGACCACCCTGCGATGGCCACTGCTCCATACAGTTGCTCATACATTGCTCACACACAGTTACCGAGCTTAGAGCTGCGGCCACGAACAAAGGACAGCTGCGGCTTCTTCCCTGTCTACCATTTCCTAAGTTCTCTGTGGAGACTCTAGTTTAGTCAACTTAGAAAAGCAGATGATATGGGCTTGTGCACATTATGCTCCTTCTCTGGCTCGCAGACACCTCGTTCTTTGAGACCCCTCTCCAGCACCTGCAGTACCCTCTCGAGTGACTAATTCTCCTGATCAGTCATGTGGAGTCCGACAGAGGTCTGCTATATTTGGGACAGACAAACAGACCACAGTCAAAGTTCTAATCAAACCCTTTCTTCATCTTGCATCCCTAATTAGGCTCCCAGAAGTTTGGGAGGCAAGCACACTATGGTCATTAAGAAGCCTGAGTTTTGGAATCAGATAAAATCTCCAAATTCAAATCCTATGTTGATTGCCTGTTGTGTTATCTGAGCCTCCACTTTCTCATCTGTCACACAGGAAGACTGCCCCAAGGGTCATGTGAGAAAGGCTGTATTTGTAAAAAGTACATAGGAAATGCTTGGTGTGCAGCATCGTGGCCAGCCGGTGGTGGCCAACAGCAGAGGTTACTTGCTGAGTACAAATGAGTAGGATTTAGGTCCAGTTTCCCAGGTTCTCGGCCCTGACCACACTTTAACGGGAAACCCAGGGGCCCTTACCGGACACAGCGATGAGACAGGAATCCAGGTTAGGTGAACAAGTGGTATTTGCTTTGCACGAGGAAACCGGGTCTAAACAGCTGTAGCATCTGAGGCTAACACCTAGAGTCAGAAAGAAAGAAAGACTGTTGGGTTCTGTTAAAGCAACAATGACTTAGGCAGACCTTACCAGTGAGCACAGGTTTGGAGCAACTTGTTTTAATCTTTTGTTTATTTGGAGTTTTTGTTTGTTTGTTTGTTTGTTTTGTTTTGTTTTTTGTTTTTCAAGACAGGGTCTCTCAAGGCAGCCCTGGCTGTCCAAGAATTTGCTCTGTAGACCAAGCTGACCTTGAACTCACAGAGATCCACCTGCCTCTGCCTCCTGAGTGTGCAGCCGCCATCACCACCACCACCTGGCTTTCTGTTTTAATCAAGATTGTGACAATTTCATACTTGCATAAAATATATTATAAGCACATTCTTCATACTCTCCTCTTGCCTCTCCCCAGAGAGTTCCTCCCCACTTTCACTATGACTGACTTTCATTGTGGTGGTGGTGGTGGTCTTTTTCTACAGGACTGCCTGAGGCTCAGCCATGGTTAGGATTGACACAGTAACCATCTAAACTGGAAAGTTTGTGACTTTGGGGGGGGGGGAACAAAGAAAAAGCAACTCAGCAAGTCCATTTCTTTCTTTTTTTTTCCCCAAAAAGAGTATGGCAGAGTGCAAATCAGGCTAGCAAAGGCCCTCCTCAAAACACTTCCATCTTTTGCCCCAATGTAGGCTGGTGGGAACTCAACTTCACAATGTGACACAATTGGTCAATCCAGCACAAAGGGGCAAGAAGGAGATTGGGGAAATGAGGTCCCTTGTCAGCTGATAGGTTTCCAAGCCTTTTGAAGGTCCCCCTCTGCCTTTAGACCCTGCCACACCTCTGACATTAAATAAATCACATTTGAGACCGTGCAATACTGTGAACCAAGGTTCCTAAAAAAAAGCTGGAGGCTTAACTGAGTCTTCTTTGGAGCTGGTTAACTGAGTTTCAAGGAAGGTGATGAGTTTGGAATGTGAAGTCCAGAATCAAACTCCTTGGAGTCTTCGTTAGTCCTTTTAGCCATTTATGGCCCCACTCTGTCCTTGACCAACCAGTTTGTGACGGAAGGTAAATTGTTTGGAATGTACAGACTGAACACTGGATTCTAGCCAACCAGAAGGCTATAAATACAGCCAGAGAACATCTAAAGTCTCTAACAGAGGTCCCCACTTCGCTTTAACCCATCTTCCTAATGTTTCTACCAGTTTACTCCAATAGCATCTTGATTTATGACTTTTTTGGTTCTGTTACTACAAAATCTCATCAAACTGCTTCCATGTTGGAATGGAATTTGGGGTAACCTCATGGTCACTCATATTTGCCTCCAAAATAAACTATCTCTTATCCCCTTTGAGATGAATATAGTGATTCCAAGGACAGCTCAAACTACATGGTACCCCCTCCAAAAAAATCAAACAAAAACTCCATCTAGCTGTACATCTAGCGGGGAAGCTTCCTCCTAGCCTTGCACTGGAAGGCGATAGTCTGCATGGAAAGACAGTGGATGGAAACTGTCCAAAGGATTCCTCACCATCCCACGAGGGTCTCACAAGCAGAACTGTACTCTGTGGATGGATAATCAGTACTTGTTGATGTGAAGAGACGTTTTCAAAGGCAAAAAATCTCTTCGGATTACTACTTTCAGTTGAACATTTACAACTAACTGATTTGGAGATGGGGACTACCAAACCATCAACAAAATGTTATCCCCCCAAAAGCATTATTCCACTCATTAGCAGACAGATATTATACACTGATAGGCAGCTATTACGTTGTGGATTTTTGTCAGTCAAAATTTTGTAGAAATTTGTTTTCTCCTTTTTATTTATGTGAGTTTGCAGAGTGTATTAGATTCTTTGCCTCCCGGCGTGTAAAGTCTAAAGTATTTGTAATCTGGCCCCTTAGAAAACAATGTTTAGTGACCTCTGGAATAGCAAATCATCACTGAACTGCTTCCTGCTAGGACGGACCCAGGGTCAGAAGTATACAAACAACACAAGACAACAGTGTACATCACTCTGGGTTGGGTGACCAGTCATAGCAGAGACATTAAGCCTGGTTCCCTAACCCAAAGACAGAAAAACAGCCAGTGCTGCTGCTCTAGTTCTGACTGCTGAGAGCTAAGAGTCGGCTTCTCTGACTCACTTCTTCAATTTTATACCATGATGACAGAGATGAGAGTCTGCGTATGTGAAAATAGCGAGGCAAGAATCAGAAAGGAATCCTCTCAGTTCGGGTGGGTGTGGATGTATGCCCTTCCCCCTTGCCGGAGAGAATGGTCTTCCTGTCAATGGCTTCTACCATGACGTCAGCACTTTGTGGCACCCACCCTCTTACAATCCCATGGAAGGATGTGTGGTTATGTCATGATGAAACCCAGTGTGGTCAACCTTTAGTTCTAAGGCCAATGCTTCCGTTTAGAAACAACAGATGTTTCTAAAAGTTGAGCTCTTCATTTGGGAGTCTGGCAAGGAAGCAAGCTCTCTGCAGGACAGCTTAAGCCTTCGCAGGTGTGACGGGGGCATTTGATCTGACAAGGTTCCAGTTCAACCCCCCCGGAAACATCAGCAACAACAAAACAAAACTTACCCCTTCTCTGCTCTGTTTGTAGATGACAAGCCCAGTGCCTGGAGAGAGAGGTCAAGTGACTACAGAAGGACACCCAGCCACAGAGCGACAGAGCCAAAGTGGGGCCTCAAGCCTGCAGGCAGGACTCCAGCAAACATTTCTGCAGTGTCAGCCTGGGAAGCGTAAGGATGTCACTTCTCAACAGTCCCTTCCTTGCTGCGACAGAGATGCACACGCACGAGAAGCGAAGAAGGGGAGAGGGAGGATGTTGGACTGGCCTGGTTATTTGAGGGCGAGTTTATAAGCCCACCCACAGAAGTGGCTAGAGCCCGGGTTCACGTGGCTGAGTGACAACCCTTTAGGTGGAAAGGACAAGGCCAATGCCATGCTGGGAACTTCCGTAGGGCAGACATAGCCCTGGCCAGCACATTCAATCAGTGTTCCGATGGCTGCGCACCTATATACCAGGCCCTTCTTAAGACTTCAGGAGAGAGAACTAAGGGGAAGATACTAACAGACATGACGAATGTCACATGACGACATCTCAGCAACAGAGCTTAGACTCTAACCCAGACTATCAGCCCAGAGACTTTCCACCTTGGCTGAGCTGGGGAAGTAAACAATGTAGACTGTAAGAGAGGACAGGGCGTAAGTCAATGGATGGCGGCTGCTGAGCCAGGACAGGGGGAGTTGACCCTCTGGGCCACTTCTTGCCCTAGTTCCAGGAGAGAGTTAACCTGTGCTAACTGTTGTAATAATAGAAAAACCTGTACTACCTCATTTTCTTCATTACAAAAGGTTAAATGTCATTTCTTGCCTTTGACACAGGCTTATTACCAAGAAAATTCTCCTGAGGGCTTCCTAAAGGTCTCTTAGACAATAGCAATTAAAAACCCAGCTTTCTCAGCAGGAGGTGGGGGGTAGTGCACACCTTTAATTCAAGGTCAGCCTGGTGTACAGAGCTAGTTCAAGAACAGCCAGGACTATACAAAGAAATCCTGTCTCAAAAAAACAAAAACAAACAACAAGAAAAAGCTTTTAATCTTTCTCCCCCTTTCTCCTCTACCTTTACCGTCACACCCAAATTCTCTGAGGAAAGGAATGAGGTATATCCTCGCTCCCCTGACTGCGCAAACGACTGTGTCAGGCTACTTACTGTAACGGCAGGAAATGCAGCAGGAAGAGCAATTAGGAATGAAACATGATGTGGCAGAGGTGGGCCAGGAGGCGGAGATGGAATGTGGGGTGCGCTTCCATTCTCTCCACTGCGCAGTCAACAGTCTCACTGGCCCCTTGCAGACTGGGCAGGAACAAACGCGGCGCTCTGCAGAGTTCCTGATATACCCACAGTCGGGGTGCGCCAAGCACACTCCAGCCCTGCAGGAACCTTCTGCTTGCGCCTTGTGCACTCGCTCGCGAGTGCGCGCGCTCTCTCTCTCTCTCTCCCTTATCAAGACAGGGTTTCTCTGTGTAACAGCCCTAGCTGTCCAGGAACTAGCTCTGTAGACCAGGCTGGCCTCGAACTCACAGAGATCCACCTGCCTCTGCCCCTCAAGGGCTGGGATTAAAGACGTGCGCCACCACTGCCCAGCCGGAACTTCTGTTTTCCAGTGCTCATTGTGTTGCTGGGCTTTCCATCTCAGTCCCCTCCCTCCCGACCCCACTCCCAAAGCCAACAATGGCTAGGACGTTGTAAGAATATGACGCGGGCAGAAAATAACCCTCGATCTTTATAATAACACAAAGTGGGGGTTTCCACTCTTACAGAAGCATAAAAACAGCTTTCTTCAGAAGCCAGGAGAAGGGCGCCCAGACATGGATGGTCTTTACGCATCCTACAGTGGCCCACGGTGAGTGAAAACCAGGAATTCCAGTGACAGATTGGGGGTCACATTTTGACATACTGCTTCTGGATATTATTTCATGCATTCAAAATCCTGGGTGAGCATTATTTCACAAGTTCGTAACCCTTTGGGGGCCTCAATTTTGTCATTTGTAAAACGGCGATAAGTACATAATCTGCTAAATTGGCAAGAGGGTGAGTAAATGCATGTCGAATGCTTAGAGTGAAGACAGGCATGCGCATGTGTAAGATTTAGTTTATTTAGCTGCTGCAACCATCGTGACCACTATCTCGGTGGCACAGGAAAATGGTGCTGTGCGTGTGTGGGGGGTGGGGAGGACAGCACCCAGAAGGCTGATCTCGCAGCTCCAGAGAGCAAAAAGGCCTTGAGCACACTGATAAGCTTTGGAAAAACAGGAAGGTCAAACACCGAGCTTGTGGCAGCTGCTCTTCCTGGAATGCCAGGAATGATGCAGTTTTACAACCTGGTGATCCCTGGCTATCTGCTGAGGCAGGCTCTGCCGCACCTCCCAGGATTTATGATTTTACTTATCCAAGATCTTAAGTCTTGACCATTGCTTTTAGACCATAAAATCCACTCTTATGAGTGAGGTCACTTGTGTTTTACTTACGACAGCCTAAGTGACTTCTGTGTTATCTGAGGGCTAGGCCAATCCTACCACCCACAGGTGTTGTTTACCTCAGCGAAGCTCCCTAGACCCTAAATCTTGGGCACAATCTCTGAGTAAACAGCACCCATTCTTGCGAAAGAAGCCAGATGGACTTTGCGAGGAATCTCAGTGTAAATTTTATCTTAAATGGTTGTGTGCTTGGGACTGAGTTAATTGTTACCTGAATGCTTTTTTGCCAAAATTGTGCTGTGCTTAAATATGACTAAAGTAAACTGCTCCGGGCCAGACTTTAGAAGTCTTGATCCAGCACCGGTACAATAAAATCAGGCTGAGCCCAGTTTCACTCTTGTTTCTGCGTGACAAAAGCCACATCCTCCACATCAGAGACAGCCTGGCTGCAGACTCGTGCTGTGAAACCTTCGCCCTTTGAGACCTGTAAGGTGCCTCCACTTTACCTACCTCCTCAGGGTCCCTATTACTTGCTGTCTGTCTGTATATCTATCCATGGCATTAATAACTCTAATAAAGTTTTGTCCAAAAGACAAAAGGTGCTCCCCTTCTACCCCACACCTGAGAGCTTTCAAAAAGGACTCGTGTAGCATTTTAAGGATGGCAGATGCTGGAATCCCAGAGAAATATGTAGTGGGCCAGGGAAATACCTGGTCTCCACTCCTGTTTAAAAAGAAAACAACCAAACAAACAGCTCTGTAAGCCAGGATGGGCTTTAACTCAGGCAGACACCCCACGAAAGGCACCCCAAAGCATCAGAGTTGTCACAAGTACAAGAACCAAAGCCAGGCCTTGATGAGGGACTGGAGGCCAGCGGCAGCAATTCAGACTCCCCGAGGCCCAAGAGAAAGAAGCATCATGGGCAAGGGCAAGTCTAGAGGGTCTGGCTCACTCACCTGTGGAGCAGAGGACAGCCAGAAGCGGCAGGAGTGCGAGGAGTCGCCTTTGAACTGGCATCATGCCCGGCCACCAAATCTGGAACAAACAAGGGTTGTCACTGACTGACAGATACCTTCCAGCTATTTCCAAAAACCACAAACTGGAGTCCAAGGGGGTCTTGGGGAAAGCACAGAACAGGCACAGAACTTCCACTGGGGCAAGGTGCATTAACTCAGGGCAGTGCTGAGTGAGGCTGTGATGGTCCTCTCCTCTTGCTTCAAGACCTCTGCTTGTGAAGAAATGTCCGTCTTGGGGGGAAGAACAGCTATGGAGGAGTCAAAGGCTGGGGCAGGAACTCCACCCCACCCACATCATCGAACCCTTAAGAAACTAACTTAGGTCATATAAGTCAGTGTTTCCGTCCACACAGGAAATAAACCTATCCTCCTCTGGGCCAAGGATGCTTATGTAGCATGCATAAGGCCCTGAGTTTGATACTCAGTACTGTAAAACGAAGAAGATACTACCCTCTCCATAAGGGTCGTTCAGTCGAATGAAAATGTGAGACAATTGATTCACGTGGTAACTACCCTGCCCATGCTGCTGGTTTTGCGGGAGTGCCCGTTCCCTAGGGCAGGCCACAAGGTGAGAGAGTCTAAGCCTCTGGAAGGCATCAGAAAGCATAAGCAGCAAAGCCTGTGTCTGCATGGGGGCTGAGCCGCCTCTGCTCAGTGTCTCTCCACTGCAGGGAAGGAAGCAGCTCCTGGGTAAGGCTAATGACTAAGACCTCCCAGGTGGCTGGGACCTAGCAACAGGTGAAAGGGCAAGTGTGGAAATGCCTGGGACATTCCTTTCGCCCAATAAGGAAGCCAAGGAACAGGAGGTTTCAAACCTTCCTACATGCCAAGTTTTGGGAGCAGATTTAAGAAGTGTCACGATCCTCCTGTCTATCTTGGGACCTACCTTGGCAGGGAGGTGGCAAGTCACTGAAACCACGGGGCCCTCCGCGCTTTTCTTCTGAGACCACAGGCCATGGCTCAGGCCTGGCAGACAGAGGGGGTTTGTCGTAGGGTAAACCACCTTTGTTTTTGAAGGCAGTCTGCTGACCAAGGCCAGGGGAAGATCGAGAAACTAAAACAGGCAATTTCTACATTGTCCATGATAGAAACTGGACAGAGCCACCATGGGGTATGTGTATTTTCAAGAGCAAACAGGGCCTGGGCCTTTCCTTCCTGGTGGAATACCTATTTCGTCAGTGTGCTGTCAGCTTCCTGCCTGGTTACTCATGCTGGGAGAATTCTGAGTGTAAAGGATGGTTTATTGACTCAGGTTAGGCAGGACTTGGGGCATGGAAAACTACTGCAAAGGAGCAGAGAGTGTTGACCGGAAGTACTCAAATAGGTAACAGAGCCTCGGACGCCTTCTGAAAAGTGAGGACCAGCTGTGTCAGGCAATGGCATTAGGAGAGGAGGGAAGATGGTCCTACATCCCAAAGGCACTGGGAAGATATAAACTTAGAGCTTCTAACACCAGAAAACGTCCTGTGAAAAGGTACCCAACATAAACAACCCTGGGGAATACACACTAATGACAGAAGTTACAAAAGAAACCCACACTAGTTCAGAATTATATATAATAAAGGGTTGTTTATTTACGGGTAGACTCACAGATCACGGTCCTAGATCACAGTCCTCTGCACGAACAGGGAACAAGAACCGAATCCAGCAGCCAGAAGCCGCATTTATAGTATACAAGACCAAGTGGCAGGTCAGAAAGTGGAAGAGCCATTGGCTTGAAGCTGGGCTGGAAACGCCTTCGATGTTGACAGTAACAGTTAAGTGAGATATAAATCCTCTCCTCCTCCTGATCCTTTACTTTTCTCACCCCCCCCCAAGTACATTCTATAATGAACCAAATATTGTTTTTATACTCTGAAACCACAGGCAAATTTGCACACTACACGTTTCCTTTTTAATATAGTCACAGATCATCATCTGTATTTTAGTAACTCCATTTCAGAATTCCCCCCCCCCCCGGAAAAAAACTCAATAAAAACTCTCTACAGTTATCTGCAGAAAAGATCAAGGAAGCACTGTCAGCCCACAAAAGCAAACACTATTTACAGGCTCTGCCCAGAGAACTCAACAAACCTTTCCTAAGCAAACCTTGATTTTTTTGGTAGTAGTGGGTTTGCTCCTATGAACTACTGTAGCAACTTTAAGATTCCAAGTGACATTTTGTTCTTCCAAAGAACATACTCCTGATTAATCTTCAAAGACAAGAACCAATGGCAAGTCTTTCTCCTTCGAGCACAGACTTGGTTCTTAGAAACAGCTCATGGTGGCGCACACCTTTAATCCCAGCACTTGGGAGGCAGAGGGAGATGGATCTCTGAGTTTCGAGGACAGCCTGGTCTATGTAGAGAGTTCTAGGCCAGCCAGGGTTCACACAGTGAGAGCCTGTCTCAAAACAATAAAAAAGAAAGAAAAGACAGAAGCAGCCCAAAGCAGCCCATTCTGAATAAAATCCACAGAAGAAAGCTGGAGAGTCTGTTGGGGAACAGCATTTGAGGCTGTAGAAAACAAAACTGCAGAGAGCCTGAGACAGCAGGAACACTGTCCTGGGTAGTAAGCTCATTAATTTGGTTCTAAGGTGATGTCTTTAAATTTTTGTTTGTTTGTTTTGTTCCATCAAAAGAAAAAGTCCTGTTGTGAAAACATTGGTCAAAAGAGTAAAAACTTAGGGTCATGCATGTCCGTAAGGAGATATGTAGATTATGATGCTGTCCCATGCTGCAGAATCAGGAACTAAGATACAAGCCAGTTGTGGCTACAGGGCTGAGGATATAGCTCAACTGTAGGGTACAGATACAAAGGGGAGGAAAAGCTATAACTGTATTACTTTTCCCTTAAAAAGTATGCACACACATACACACCTAATAATAAGATGATTCTAATACCACGTTAACTTTTCTGAACATTTTAGAATGTGTGTTTATTGACAGAGTGATAAAATTAGGGGCTGTTTGCTTATACCTAGTTTTTTTAAACAACAAACAGAAAAAGCAATGATTATTTTAAATATACACATATGTGCTTCCTGTGTAGTTTCTTTTTATTTAGCTATTACTTTACCCAATCAGATATAAAACATATATATAGTTATATATATATATATATATATATATATATATATATATATATATATACTAGCTTTCAAAATTGGCTACTTGAGACAAAGAACATTTCGTGTGTGTGTGTGTGTGTGTGCATGTGTGCACAATGCATGTATATAGGCTCCAATGTCTAGTCAGAAAACAGTTATTTAATCGTTTTCATATAATTGTGAAAGATGAGGACCAAATGATTGTCCAGTTTTCCTAAAAAGTGACACCATATCTTAATACCAATTTGTCTCCAATTCATAAAACATCAAAACAATTAAATCCCTTATTTCAGTTTTTAATTTGTAAAGAGGTTAAAAATCATTTTCCATGAGAATAAAATATAAAAATAAGACTTCAACAGGGCCTGCTACCACAGGTCAGGGATCTTAGCTACTTGGGGGCTCAGACAGGAAGAGCACAAATTCAAAGCCTGTCTGGACTAGAGTTGAAGGACAACAATACATTAGCAAAACCTTAGCTCAAAAATTTAAACAATCAAAAAACAAAAACAAAAACAAAACAAAAACCCAAACCCACAAAACAAAAAACAAACTAACAAAAAACCAAAACATTTTTAAGAACTAAGGATATATCTTCCAGTGGCAGAGTGCTTGCTGGACATGTCACATATGAGACCTGAAACTGGAGACCCTGAATTCAACCCAGTACACACACACACACACACACACACACACACACTTTAAAAATTCAATGCAGACTAGAATGTCATGTAGCACTTTAAAAGACAAACACGTAGACTAATAAACAATCCTGGAATTTTCTCTGTCCTGGAAATTAATTATACTTTAAGTCAAGGCACTATAGTCAAAGCACTATACCTCTGAATTTCTTCCAGTGTACCAGAACAGAAAAACACACAGCCGTTGGAGCCAGGGGAAATGAAAGAGAAACCAGGGCTGTTCTGCACAGTTTTCAACAGAGAGGGGAGGTTGTTCTACCTGTTTCCTAAGACAGGGTCCCTGGAAAGCTCTTTGCCAACTGAGCTACATCCTAGCCTGCATTCTAGATTTCCTAAACACACCATCCCTTACCTGCCTTGCTGATGTAGGATGTCCTTCTGTAGAGGTATTGCTTTTATTGGTTACTGAATAAAGCTGTTCTGGTCCAAGGCTTAGCAGAGGGAACTCCAAACAGAGATAAAGAGAGAGTAGGCGGAGTCAGGGACATGCTAGGCAGCTGCTGAAAGAACCTTACCAGTAGGCCACGGGTTCATGGTGATATACAGATACAAGAGTTAGCCAGGAATATGCTTGACCAAACAGTGCTGAAATTAATATAGTTTCTGTGTGATTATTCGGGTCCGAGTGGCCGGGAAACAAAAAGCAGTCTCCGCCAACATCTTGGCCACATGCAGGTACCGCACAGGATCAGCGCATCGGAGAGCAATTCCTCTAATGTGCTCTGTACCTCGGGGATGCTCATGCAGTGGAAGTCACAGAGCAGATACTGCAAGATCCTTCAGAAGATGGTAAGAGGCTATAAACAAACAAAGCAAACAGGACTGCGAGAAGGCTCAGCAGAGAAAGGTGCCTGCTGCCAAGCCTCCCGATCTCAGTTCAGTCTCCACAGTCCATACGGTGGAAAGAGAAACCCAGCTCCAGAAAGTCATCCTCTGACCTTTCCTAAAGGTGCCATGGCACATTAATACAACAAAGAGATCAATGTAGCTTTAAAACTTTTAAAGAGGCAAAATCTAAAGATTGCTATAGTAAACCTTTTCATTCTATAACAAATCCAACCTGACAATTACTTATGCATCGCCAGCCAGGGGAACTCAAAAGGGACAACAAGCTTAAGTGAGTGGCTGAAAACACTTTGGGTAGCAGATACTTTTGCTCTATTGGTAGACAGAAAATGCAGTGTGACTGTAGTAATAACACACACACACACACACACACACACACACAGACAGACTCTAGCTTCCCAAATACAAGTTTAAAGAAATATACACTTACTCATTTAATTACATGGATACAGACATGTAAGAATCAGGCGAAGCACTTTTCACATGACATAATTATTTATGATGAACTTACAGTCAAGTGAGCTGATGTGTGGTGCGCTAGGCTACATAAAAGAGGGCTTAAACACTGGTTCTCAGTTTCTTGGACCATGTAGCTCATGCAGAGAATGAGAAGATCACTGGACCTAGAGTCTGGGTGGGCCTAGTCTACAGCCCGATGAGGGTGGGGGGTAGAGGGGGGGAGCACTGTTCACAGTCCCCAAGTGCTGCATATGTTCCTAGAGGCCACACTGAGAACCAAGGGTTGAAAGTGACTCTCTCAGCAGGGCTGTAAAATGAGCTGTTAGTGTTAATTAAATAATTAGAAGTGTCTTCTGTTCTGCAGGCCCATACGATTACAACACTTGATGCGACTTGTAACCAAACACAAGCCATTAGGCTTGATTGCTAGTTAACTTCTGTTTGGGGGCAAATATTAGAGGCCAGCACTAGTGCTCCTGAGAAAACACTCCTTACAGCAGTAACAAGGTCTATGTAACACTTCTTGCACTGAGGCAACCAGAGTGAAGGGGAGCTAGTTTACAAGGAAGCAGCCTCAGGCGCCAAGTAACATCTCCCCATAAAAACATCCAGACCTTAACTCTAAGACCTGTGACTACAGGCATGCTCTCCTGGTGACCTTCACTGACCCTAAGATTCTGCACATTATTGTCAATGTCCCAGTGTAATCACAGGGTCCTCAGAAGGGAGAGGAAGGGAGCAGAAGCTGTCAGACACTGGAAAGCAGAGGCAGGTAGAACATGAAGAGTGTGGGAAACATCTTACTGTTGCTAACTCTGCTCTGTTGGCTGCGGCATGCTCATGGCCTCTAGAAGCTAAGAATGCTCCGCAACTAACACCTCTCAAGGAAATCAGATCGGGGTTCTCCAGTCACAAAGGCCTCCAGAAGCGAAGGAAGCCTGCCACCTTGTAGCTCAGTGTTGACCCTAACCAGACTCCAGGTATAGGTGAAGGAACTGTAAGGTTTGTGTTGTCTTAAGCTATTTTTTATTCACTTGGCAGCCATAGAAACTATTATAAAGCACATGATGGCATGTGCCTATAGTCCCAGCTACTTGGTTGGCTGAGGTGGGAAGATGACATGAATCCAAGAGTTTTGATCCATTTGGTCAATAAAGCAAGACTCTGAATCCAAACAAACAAAAAGAACAAAAGCCCTAAGCCTGCTATAAGCAGCAGACTCATTACTGGAAAATAGTGAGACAGCATTTTAAACATAGATTTCAGCCTGGAACCATGAACACAGATGGAGATTGTAATTCAGCTTCCAAAATAAATGCAGCAAAAAAACCAAACCAACCAAACAACAACAAAAACACCAGGAGATTCTCTCCTCCCACCCCTTTCCTTTTACAAACTAAGAAAGGAACCCAGAAGCACCACCACCACTGAGCCACACCGATTAGAGATTTCAACATCAGCAGTTTCCATAGGATTCACAGACAGTGGAGGCGCTGGGTGCAGTTGTAACACTTGGGAGACTGGGGCTGATGTACTTTAAGGCTAAGTATGTTATATAAAATAAACATTATCATTTTATAGCAAGTTCATAGAGAGCCAGAGGGATGGAATTACCTGTCCCAAGACAACAGGATAGTCACAAAGTCACTTTGGATACATCTTGCTTATACTTATCAACGCCTGGGAACTAAGTGGCTTAGTGTTAGCAGTCTCAAAGGCCTAAAGATTTTGTGTCCTTACAAGCTTGGACACGCAGTAGCTAAGCATGAAACAGACACCCAAAGATCCTTTACTCAGTAATTACATCAGCAGCTAGGGACAAAGAGCAAACCACCATCACAATGGGAAGGCCCCTCCCAGCCACCTAGAGGCCCTGGGTAAGCACCCTAGTGCTCTTAAAATTGCACAGGATTTCAGCTTCACCTACAGTGGCCTCCCTCTCTTAACAACCTGTTCCAGGACCTCAAATCCCTGGCTCATCCCGGTATTCCCAACCCTAAAATCCGTTTGATTTGGGTTTTTCTCTTCCAACCCACCCAGTGAAATGGAAGGTTTTCCATTTATAATAAAGTACATGACAAAAATTTCAGTTTGTTTGGTGCATGAGGCAACTCCCTCTTAGTCTCCCCAGACTGTTAAAAGCAATGTTGTGAGCGTCCTCATTGACATTCTGACGTCTGTGTGTCAGCTCTGAAGTAGTGGCTTTTAAAAGATGGCCCTGGAGTTGAAATCTCCTTAACAATTGCCGTTTTTCATATTCCCGGAGGCCAACCTGAGCTTTTCCGTGAGCGACCTTAGTGTTTAGTACCACCCTGAGAAGTAAGGCCTTCTTCCCCTTTACTGATGAGAAAACAAGGTTAAATAGCTTGCTTCGGACTAGCTACGAACAAAAACAAATGGCACTCACTGACTAAGGTTCTTTACAAAGTCCGCCCTCAGCACCAAAAATATCCCCCATGCACTAAAAATATCTGCAAAAGCAGTTTTAAATTTGGACCCTGACCAGAAGAAAGGCAGTAAGTCATCGGGGCTGGAGCAGCGCGGTGAGAGGGTGGAGGTGGAGGGGCGTCCCCGGGGCAGACGCCGAGCGAATGCCGAGCTCCTGAACCGTGCGTGGAAAGCAGAGTAGAGGCTTTCGGGAACCGGCCTGCGGCAGTGTATCTTTATTATAATAAAGAAGGCCGGCGGAGCTACAAGCCGGGGAAAGGCCTCCCCAGAGAGAAGAAACAAGGAGAGCTTACTGCGCCCTCAGCCCCTGAACGCATGCGCTCCCGAAGTACCCCCCATCTCTCACCCCAGGTCCTGCTGCAGCCGACACTGCGCCCTTGCTTACCTGCCACCTCGCGGTTCGCTAGACCCTGCCACCGCGGTTCCTTAGTGCCGGAGGTTTTTCTGCGTCGCAAGCACCTGATCTCGGGCTCCGCCAGTCGGCGGAACAGCTACCGAGCTCCTCTGGCCACTCCCAAGAACTGATGGCCACACCCCCAGCCGCAATTCAGTCTTTGCCTCCGATAGAGGGCGCTTGGCGGCTAGCTAGTACTAGACCCTCAAAACCCAAGCAACGGGAAGGGCCTGTGTCTGTCTCCCTCTGATTCTTTACCCCAAAAGGCTTCTGATTTTCCCCATCTGAAAAAAGTCACTCCCCAAAATGTTTTTGTGGTCTTGTTTGCTAGCGCCCAGAGCTTTCTCTTTGCCCATCGTGGGTATCTTTAGCTTCGGAGTGTTTTGTTTGGAATCAAGACAAAATTCTGTCCAGCATTTGAAAACTTCTGTGAACTGACCAGGGACCAGAACTACCGCTTAGACCTTCCCGTGCAGTTGTAATATGAAGTTCCCACTTACCAATTGGAAAGGGTCACATCCAGTAAAGAAGCAACAGGAACAATAACTGAAAAAAATAGAGTAAACATTCCAAGAGGAATCTCCCCTAGGAGGAACTCGAGAATCGGTCTGGGAAGCTGTGACACCTCAGGCCTGCTTTGGAAAGGGAAGCATATATGAGACTAAAATCCAAGTTAGGCCATAGGGGTGGGGGAATGGAGGATGTGAGAAAGGAAACAATGATCCAGTTAAAGAGATTTTAGGGGTTTTTTTCTAAATTTATTTTATTTTATGTGCATTGGTGTTTTTGCCATGGGTGTTGGGTTCCCTGGAACTGGTGTTACAGGCAGTTGTGAGTTGCCATGTGGGTGCTGGGAATTGAACCCAGGTCCTCTGGAAGAACAACCACTGCTTTTAACCACTGAGCCATCTCTTCAGCCCCTTAGTTTGTTTGTTTTAAAGCCTTTCAGTCCTCAGCAATAGTGAGTAAATTTTCATTTTTTGTGTGGGTTTTTTTTTTCATTCTTTTTTCCCCCAGTCATATCTATTCCACCAAAACATGGCCCATTCTCCTCAGCATGTGGTGGGTTCTCTCTGTGTCTGCCATATCCTAAAGAGCAAAAAGGGCTGGGACTCCACTCTTCCCCTAGCCTATCAACAATTACAGAGACTGAGCTTCAATCCCTGCTATAGAAGAAGCACATGGACACCTATAGAGCAAAAAATAATAAATAAAAAAATTTAAAAAAAAATGAAAGAGGGGAAGCACCAGGTAGGACACCCCCCAAACACATATCAAAATCCAATCCTTCTTAAAGTAGGTCATCTTCCCAGGTCTGGGCTCTTCTCTACTCTAGAAACTAGTAAGGCTTACTGGTAAACAAATCCTTCCAAATCTTTCCAAGGGAATGTTGCTGAAATCCTTCCCATTTAGGTGGTAGGGGTGGGGGTGATCATGAGTGACACCAATGCTCTTCCTAAAGTCTTAACGACAAACCTAGGCAGTATCCCCAAAGTCCACTCTGATGAACCTGTGAGTTCATTCAGTTTTCTTGCACAGCATAGGCCACACTGGAAAGTCAGAGATGGTGTCTTTCCCTCAGACACATAGAGGGCCCCCTGCCCTAGTCTTCCCAAGTTTGAATAGTTTAGCCCCTTCCTGAAGCCACATGCTGTTAGGGTGGCATTGCCTAACAGGTGAAATGGAGCAGCTGGGAGTGAAACCACAGATACTGAGTCTCTTGCAGGAACAATCATAAAGCCGTTGGCGTGTGCCTTTTATCATGATCCTTTGCCGAGTTCCAGGATCAGCAGGACCCAGGTCCTGGTTTTCCTCTATGCACAGCTTTGATAGTGTGCCTGTGTCCAAAGGTCTTTGTCTTGTATACGTTGCCTATTATATCTCCTATGATCTATTCTTTTAGAATTCAATGTTCCTAAGTTCTAAAATACCAAGCATTTTGATACCAATTTCTGGACTTAATTTTTGAAATTCTTCTTCCCTACCTCCTAAGAATTTAGGGTTCTCCAGTGTGCTGGCTAATTTTATGTTAACTTGACACAGGCTAGAGTCATCCAAGAGGAGGGAACCCTAATTGAGAAAATGCCTCCACCACCGCCCGGTAATAACCAAACTATTTAAGCTACTGTTAAATTAGGTATGTCTCACCCGGAGGGTCAGACAAATATGTGGAGAATGTGTTCTCGAGAGGCCTGCAGGTGGGCTTTGCTCCACTAGAGTTTGGTTAGGGGAACACTGATGTCAATGGTTAAATTTCTTTTAGTTTGAGAGTCTAGAAGAATGGCTCTCTAGACTGCTTTTCTAGAGGACCTAGTTTCAATTCTCGGAACCCAAGGGACCCCCAGTGACCTCTTGTGGCCTCTAGGGACAGCAGGCACACAGGTGGTACACAGATATACACAAAAAGCAAAACACCCTTACGCATTAAAATTTCTTCTAAGAATTTCAGCAATGTAGTTAACAGAGGCTTATCAACTAATCACACTTTAGTGTGACCTGGAGGTTTATTGTATAGCTAGTTCCTATTAATAAAACCATAGCCTCCTGGAGGGAGCAGGGCGCCTCATGAAACACATGGCCTTCATTGCCGCAGATTGCTCCAACAGTCTGTCACACTCGTTCTTCCATTGCAGCTGCGGTGCAGCGGCCGACTGAACAAGCAACAGCCATCAGTGGCTTTTCTCCCACTTCAAGGTCCTTGATCACCTTTAATTTCATTTCTGGGTCAGTCACTTGATGACAACTTACTGTCAATATCTTGTTTCATGAGGAGGTACAAGACTCTGAAATTTATGACTGAAGACCCCTTCCAGAGGTTCGATAAGCCGTACATACTTATTAGAAGAGTCTCTTCAAACATGTAGCTACGCTTTCATGAGTCCTCATCCAGGATGTTCTCAGTTGCAGCTGTCAATCACCCGTATTCCTGTTAGTAATCCTGAGAAACTTACGGGCCCATCAAGCTGGGCTCGGATGGAATCTTCTTTCACTATTATTGTCCTCTCTCCAAGAAAAAAAAAATGTAACAAAGTCTGTTGAATATACCAAGGCAGCAAATTCTGAAGGCACAAAAGAATGGCAAGGGAGCATGGGACCAGCTTTGACATGGTAACTCTGACATGGTTTTTAATTACTGCTTTATTGGGAATGTCCTTTTTGAAGTGGGTTGATGTTAGGGTCTGATGTTCATCGTCTATGTCCCCTTCTTGTGCATTATGTTGAAACTAATCCACAAAGCAGCTTTATGAAGATGGGAGATGGTGGGTTGATTCAGTTACGAGGACTATCTTCATGAGTGAGACTAGTGCCCTTCAAAGGACTTAAAGACTTCTCATCCTACAGGACTAGATTTTATTTTTAAAGACAGTTTTATTCTGTAGCCCAGGCTGGTCTCAAACTCACTATGATCCTCCTGCTTCAGTCAGCCTTTCAAATTGGAAACGGTATGTGTCATCAGTGCCTGGCTACCTTTTTTACTGTAACACAATCAAAGGTGTTTCATTGCTGGGGCAGTGGTGGCGCACGCCTTCAATCTGAGCACTGGAGAAGGCAGAGGCAGACAGACCTTTGTGAGTTCAAGGCCAGCCTGGGCTACAGAGCGAGTTCCCAAACAGCCAGGACTATACAGAGAAACCCTGTCTTGAAAAAAAAAAAAGCAAAACAAACACAAAAGGCATTTTGTTATCAAAGCCTAAATGAAACAACTGACCATTTTTAAAACGGGGTAGCCTGAACAGTATTTGGCAGCCTGATAATAGTTATGTATCACTTAACAATGGTGATATAGTTCAAAAAATGATCATCAGGTGACTGTGTGGCCAGGGATTTCCTCACTGTGCAAACACCAGGGAATGTATTTTCTATAAACCTAGATAGGAGAGTTTTGCTCTGGCAGCTACTGCCCTCCACAATCAGCTTTCCTAGCTTTTAAAACTTAGTCAATGACTCAGCTACCTTCACACCTGAGTTTGCAGGTTCACCACTCACTTCTGCATTTTATAACAATTGCCAAATCATTTTAGACCACCCACAGCTCTCAGTAACTCCGATATCCCGGTCAGGTCCAGTCTTCTCTTTCAACATTGCACACATAGCCTGCTTTGACTGTGGTCATCATGGTGTTAAGAACACACTGTGTCAAGTCAGGTCATTACAAAGTTCTCCAGATCTGATGCTGACCTTGAATTTTTCTAATCCATTGCCTTTGATGAAGCACGTGTTCCAACAGCTTATGTCACACATCTGTTCCTGTTCTGAGGGTACAGCTATGGTGGAACTTAGTAAGGAACAGCCGTCAGTGATCTCCCCTCCCTTTATAGTCCTTGATCACTTTTAATTTCATTTCTGGGTAAGTCACTTGGTGACAACTTACTGTCAACATCTTGTATGCTTTGGGGCCATAAGAAATAAAACATGAGATTTAATCAAGCACAAGAGAAAATGACACATTCAACAGATGTGGTGTACACCAGATGAGGTTACTGTTGGCTTCTGTTGTTGAAACACCAGGAGATTGTAGCGTTTTATGAAAAATAAGTAGGAAAATGACTCAAAATATTCTGACGTGTCATTGTAAAGCAGCAAGTTTGCTCATGGTCCCTAAGAGCGGGCACTTAGCCTTGAATATGGCTCTCTCTTCCTAAATTGTCTCCATGAGAGAACTGTTTAAAGGGAAAGTTGATGGAGAACAAAGAGAGCATAATCAAAGTCAGCAGACAACTCAGAACGGATGTACTGCACTCTGCTGCAAGCCAACAAATACCATTACCATCTTCTGTCTTAATACTAAGTTTTTGGGAAATAGGCACTTACACAAAATTGTTTTTAAAGTATGAGTTTTTGACACTTGAAGGATTTCATTCCAAACTCTCAATTATGTAATTACAAAAAACAATTTTCATGTTTCAGGAAAATATCCTTAACCCTAACATAAAATTCAGATCACTTACCACAAAGTTAGACAAATGTATATAAAGAAACAAAATAGAAAGCGTATTTACAAATTTATACTCTGTGAGACATTGTGAAGAATCTTTAGCAACATTCCACATACTTTTACAAACAAACTACATTTAAAATGAAGAATCTGTAAATAATGTGAGAAAGGTCATAGCGTGAGAACT